TCAATCATTCCGCCTGTCTCCTTCATGCTGATCACGCATTCTCCAATCGCGTCGTCGTTGGACATCGCGTCGTAATCGCTCACAACAATCCGAAGATGTTGCAATGCCGTAGACGTGTATCTGTTTTGATAGATCCTTGCAAGCTCGTAGTACAGACGATATATCCCAGCTTTGTAATGAGACCAAAATTCTCTCCGGTCTTGCTGATCCTTCTGGCTAAGGGCGTTGAACTCACTCTCCTGAATACCTCGTCAACATCGGAACAGAGTAATCAACTAGTGGACAGAGAGAGTCTTTGCTAGAAGCATGCAGCTCGATTCACCTGAAGGAGCTCGCTACGTCCCCAATCAAAGATGTTGACGATGACTTTTATCATCTCCCTCAGACCAGATTCATCTCTGGTCGGGAGTTGGAACACGTCAAAACCCAGCGCCACCGACGATCCGATCCATTTCTGAGGGCTTCGGGATCCCTTCCCTCCCCTCTCCGTTCCCTCCCCTCTCCCTTCGGTCTCCCTCCCAACCCCTCCTTTCTCTTTCCTGTCCCTTCCCTTCCCTCTCCCTCCCATCCCCTCCCCTCGCGCGCTTCTCGACATTCTCTCTGTCACCCCTAGCTCACTTTCCTTCTCCCCTCACCTGACCTCTTTGCCTACCACCGATCCTTTTCTTACGAACTCACCTCTTCTTCTTTCTTTCAAGAATCCTGCGAGCTTGTGCGTTCCCTTTCCCTTCCTCTATCCTGATAAATGCTTCAAGGGACCTTGTCTGTTTCTACCTGAAGACTTTGTGGATCCTTTTCCTTCTTGTACTACTTGATTGGCTTCCATTTGTTTTGACCCTTTCCAATTATCTTTCGCTTCCTTCCCTTTCCACTTAAATCCCTCAACCTTCCGACTTCAATTTCTTCCTTCATTTCCTTCCTTATCAATTCATTCACATCTCTGCATTGGCTGATTCACATGGCACCCAACCTCCCCCATCCCTTCAGGCTTTCATGTCCCTTCAGCTGCATGGGGAATGGGGAGGGCGGGGGTTGGGGCGACGAAGCTGATCTTGTGTCTTGAGCAAGGATGGAGTTGACACGTGAGTTGGTGCAGGTCAATCAGGTCAGAGAAGTTGCAAGAGCATGTCTGAAAGTCCGAAGCCAGCCCGACAGAACCTGGTGATCGGCACCGACGAGACGGACGACGCCATGATGGACTCGAGGCTCTTCGACAAGCTCGTCCTGGACGAAGTCAAGGACCTGGAGGAGTGCAAGACGCTCTTGAAGAGGACGAGAGCCGTCACCCTCATGGCGGACAGGATGACTTGCGCATGGACGGAAGAGGAGTGCTACGAGGAGGTAAGCAAGCTGGTGCTGGGCCTGTTCGGGGTGGAGCGATGTTCCGTCGCGCTGGTGGAGGACTACGAGCACCTGCGGGTGATACAGATGGCGGTCACGAGGGTGGACTACAGCAAGGAGATGAGCGTCAACATCCACAACACAGGCATGCTCATCCCTCTTGCTGGCTCCTCCTTCGGCAAGATCGCCAAGACCCTGAAGCCTCTCTACACCCCCGACGCTCGCGAGAGCGACTTGATCGACCACAAGAAGATCGCCTCCATGGGCCTGCGCACGATCGTAAATGCTCCCCTCCTGGTAGCCGGCAGGAAGTTCGTGGGAGCTCTTAACCTGGGCTTCATGGAGGTGGACTGCCTGACGACCAATGACCAGCTACTGATCAAGGACATCGCTGCTTGTCTCGGAGCCAACCTCTTCACGAGGAGGATCAAGAAGTCGCAGGAGGAAGACCACGAGGTCTGCCAGAACCTTCTGCACGCCATGATCCCCCCCAAGGTGCTCATGCGCATCGAGCACTACTGGAGGGACAGGGGCAGCCAGGCGCAGCCCTCGGAGCTCAGCGCAGAGGAGACGGCCCAGGACATGTCGGACACGGGCAGCTCTGACCAGCTGGACGACATCCAGCAGCGGCTGGAGTATCTCCGCGGCATCTCGAGCTCGATGGAGGTCAGCGTGCATGACAACCCCGAGCTCTCGCGCCACCTGCACCTCATGTGCGACAGCGGGAAGCCGAGCTCGGCGAGGAGCGGGGGGGACGGAGGGATGGGGGCGAAGATAGGAAAAGCGCTGTATGCAGAGGAGAAGAGAAACGTGTCGATCATCTTCTCTGACATCGTTGGCTTCTCGCGCATTACAGACGGGGTCCCCCCGATGAAGACGATGAACATGCTGCACCAGCTGTTTCATCGCTTCGACGCTCTCTGCGAGAAGCACGGGGTCTTCAAGGTCGAGACGGTCGGCGACGGCTGCGTCATGGCAGCTGGGCTACTGGAGGACAACAACGACAACGACGGGGGCAGAGCAGCTGCGAGGAGGGCGCTGGCGATTGCCATGGACATGGTGAGAGAAACGAAGCTCGTGCTCTCCCCCGACCGAGGAGGGAGGAGGGAGCCTCTGACCCTCCGTGTGGGGCTGCACGTTGGCGACATCACGTGCGGGGTACTGGGGAAGGGGATGCCGCGCTTCCAGCTGTTCGGGAGCACAGTGAACCTGGCGGCGAGAATGGAGCAGACGTGCGCTGCTGATCGCGTGCATGCGAGCAAGAAGTTCTTCGAGCTGGTGGGGGGGGAGAGCGGAAGCTGGGAGGGGCCGACGCTGGTGAAGGTGAAGAACATGGGGGAGGTAGAGACTTTCACTCTGGACCCGCTGTGCAAGGGATGAAAGAGACGAGTAGACAACGAGGAGGAGGAGATCGAGATCCAGATGATGGTAGTGTTGCTGTTGTTGTTGTTGTGATGATAATGATGATCGTACCGACAACGGCGATGGTCTATTCGATGTGATTGATATTTTTCTTTGTAAAGAGAAGCAAGATAAACGAGAATTGGCAGCAATCTGTTTGACAAGGTGCAGGAAGTGGAGCAGGTGGGGCGGGGGGTGGGGCCGAGAAAGCAGACGGGAAGGAGGGAGGAAGGCAGGAGCAGGAGCAGGAGCAGGAGCAGGAGCAGGAAGAGGAGGGGAGGGAGAACAATCATGTGAACGTCTTGACCATAGTCGAGCTCACATGGCCAACAACCTGATGAGGAGGAGCCGTGAGGACAGGTGGAGGGGCAGGGAGGAAGAAGAAGAATCACCTTCCCTGCCATAGAGTCCAAGTTGGCCTTGAGCGAGGACTGCGCAGAGTTAGGGAGGGGAGAGTGGGAAACGGCAGGAGGAGGAGGAGGAGGAGGAGGAGGAGGAGGAGGAGGACGAAGACGAGGAGGAGGAGGAGGAGGAGGAGGAGGAGGAGGAGGAGGAGGAGGAGGAGGAGGAGGAGGACGAGGTAGTGGTGGTGGTGGTGGTGGAACCTGGTCAAGCTTCTCTCGCATAGACTCGGTGAGGGCCTGAATGCACGAGAGTAAGGAACCACTTTCTCCCCCTCCTCCTTCCATTTTTTCACTTTCCCTTCCCCTTCCTCCTCTCTCCTGCGCTCCTCCTTGACTCCCTCCCTCTCTCCCACCTGTCCGGCTGCGCGCGTCTCCTCGACGACGTCGAAGACTTGGAGGGAGGAGGATTGCGATTTGATCCCCTTCATCTCCAGCATCCGCTGCAGCTGCTGCTTGTCCCCTGCCGCCTTCGTCAGCTCAGGGAAAGTCTCGCGCTCCTTGCTCACGTCCTTTCACGAGAGCAGCGTAGTTTTGCTCCATCTGCCATCGCAGGCAGTCAGATGCGAATAGAGAGGGAGAAGACAAGAATGTAGGGGAGCAGAAGGAGGAGGAAAAGAAGAAGGTTGAGGGGAGAACGAGAACCCAGAGGAGGAGGGGAACAAGGAGAGAGAGGGGGAGGAGAAGGAGTGGGAGTGTGAGGGGGAGGGGGGGGGGAGCGAGCGAGCGATCGATTTCGACATACCATGCAACTTTAGCTCGTCGGTACTGGGGGTTTGACCACCTGATCGGCATGAGAAATAAGAACCTTAAGAACATTCTCAACCTGCTTCTTGTCAACGAAATGTCCAGCTCTCCTCCCCTGCTGTTCCCATATCGCTTCGTCAGGGTCTTCCCCCTCGGCACGAAACCAGCTTCGATGACTGAGGCGGCCCTCGATCCGCTCTTCGCGTCTTGGCGTGACCTCCGCTTCAGCAGGTTGCCCACCTTTTCATCATCCGGCCGAATGCATACTTCTAAAGCTATTTGACGCATACAAACCTCTCTCTTGCCTTTTCCTTTGCGCACTGGCAGATTGCTCTACTGAGGCTTCGTCGCGAGCTCCCGACCATTACGCGCCTGCTCAAAAGCAACTTGCCTGCCC